AGACAGACAGACAGACAGACAGACATAATAAAGGGAAGTAAATTTACCCCACAGAGAAAAACATTAAAATTAAGAAAGGAAATAAGGATAGGATGATTCTTGCTTACAGTTAAAGATACTGGTATAAGCTCATGTTCATTTTAATGTACACACAAAATAAGGATGTAACTAAAGATATGCATGGACTTGGATGCTGGATTTGGCATCAGAAACACATACTTCTTATTTTTGTTTACTAAGGAACCCAAGAGACAGTTACAAGCCAGTAGCACTGAGACAGTTAGAAAGCAGAATTTATGAATACCATTATCCAGTAACAAGAATGAAGACTCCCTAAAAACAGATTGATAAGAGTAAAGGGAATAAGAGTTTGAAATAAACAAAACAAAACATGACAAATAAAAAAAGAAATAGACAGCAATTTGTTTAGGAACATTCAACCTTTCTTTCTTATTAAATATTTGACCAAATAAATGGAAAATCAATGAGGACTTGAACAATGTGAACAACTCATTCAATTTGATCTAATTCACATTTATACAACACTTAATCTTTCATTGAAATATGCAATACCATAAAACTACATATAATAAATTTAAAGGACTCGTATCATGAATTACATTCAAAAACCAAAACACAATCTGAAAATTAAGACAGGGCAAGTAAGACAGCTCAGTGGACTAAAGTGTCTGCTTCGGCAAGGTTACACAAGTTTAGGCAAGAGCAGGGATACTGGCATGACATGCTGTGCCAGCCCCATCTCCAGGACGGGATGAGCCAGTCAGAGTCCAGGCGTAGTGGCACATGTCTATAATTCCAGCACTGGTGAGGCTGAAAGCAAGAGGATCTCCACAAGTCTGAGCTGTGTAGTGAGACCCTCCAACCATCAAATACATTAAAAAATAATAAATAAAAATTAAAACTATTTATAAATTTAAAACATTTTAAAGATATTTAAAAATTAGTGATCCACTACTATGTTAAAAAAGGCACAAGCTAAGGAACACAATATTACAAAAATACATTGACTATACCTAAAGGAGTTGCATAAGAAACAAATTTACAGCTAAAATGTTACAAAATCAGCAATGGGGCCACAGCTTACCAGTGAAGAGCTTGCTGAAGTGTGCTCGAGGAGTTGGTTTCTATTCCCAGCTAGGCCATAAATAAATAAATAAATAAATGACATACATTTTTTTTCTTTAACATGTTAAAAATTGTTAATTGACCCTAAACTATAATTAGATTTTCACATATAATAGTGATGAGGATAGACATAAGTAAAGATAGGAAACAAAACATGAAATCAAAATCTTATTAGTTGAAAACACCAATAAAATTGTCCAAATTATTAACTACACTAATTAAGAAAATATCTGACACAAACCATGCAAAATAAAAATAAAAGAGATTGATCAATGAACTCCATAGATATTAAAATAAATGAATATTAATAACTTTACAATAAAAACCTTTAAAATAAAGGATAGAATAAATCTTTACTCCCAACAAATTCAACAAATTAAATATAATAAAAAGAATCCATAAAAATATGAATTATCAAAACTGATAAGAGTTGATAAAACTAAATGATCTTATAATTACTCAAGACAAGCATTTATTACAACTCTACTCAAAAAATTTCCTAGGCCTAGGCTGCATTAATTTGTTAATTCTATCAAAATTTGAGAAATACTAATCCTATAAAATTTATTTTAGAAAGAGAAGAGATAGTAAAAAGACAAATCATTCTTTAACATTACCATGACACCAAAATTAGAGCCACACATTATTGGAAAAGAAAAATATATAAAAATCAACACTAAAGTATTTACAATAGGTCTGGGGAGATAGCTCGGTGGTCTAACCATCTGCAAAGCTCAAGGACCCACGTTCAATCCCTGGAACCACATGTGTGTCAATCCCAGAACCCTGGGCACATTTTGCCAGCCACCAAATCCAGGAATGGTGGTACATCCCTGTAATCCCAGTGCTGGGGAGGCTGAGACAGGAGGATCACTATAAGTCTGAGCTGCACAGCAAGACCCTGTACCAAATAGGTAAACAAAAGATTTAAAAATATTTAAGTATTTAAAATATATTAGCCAATCAAATTGTAAAATATATAAATAGGAAATAAATTTTGTGAGTGGATACCACTTCAGAATCAGAGGTTGCTTCTATATTTGCAAATCCATGAGTACAATGCACAATAAAAACATAAAAGCAGAAAAATAAAATTCAGTTTGACAGATGAAGCAGGAAAGGTAACAGATTGGCTAACCACCAAAATCTGAGTGCTGATACTCCATGACTTAATGATAGGATCACATGCTGATGAAACTCCTGTAATTTCTATGCTAACATTGACATTTTCTTACGCATGTTATTTCAGTCATCTCATTTTACATTTATAACCATCTTAGCAGATATCATTTTAGCCTATTTATTTAGGTACAGAGCAATTCAAAAAATTATTCATTGTTACTCAAATATCACTAGAAAACATGAATATCAAGCTCTTTGACTCCACAGTCACCACTAGATCATACTGCTTACACGTGGATACATACTGAAGATAGATGCTGGCTCCATCCCTGAATGCAGTCAGCCTGTTTTTCTCATGCCCCTCCATCTGGCTTTATAGCAGTCTCAACCCAACTTCCAACACAGCTGTAAACAGCCTTAATGTCCTACACAGAGTATCAAGTATGCAGCATGGGTTCTACCTCACACAAGCCCCCTCCTATGTGGAAATAAGAAGTTTCCACTGTATTTCCTCCAGCCAGCATTTCAATGTTCCACTGGCAACAAGATCCCACATCAAACCACAGCCTGTTTGCAAGGCACCCTGATATCTGAAAAATCACTTGTTCCTGAGAATTGAGATGAGGACAATCAAGAGCAGGAAGAATTGGTAAAAGTAAGATAAAAGAAATCTATAGAAATAACAGATAATAAACCATGTAAGAGATACAGCTCAAGAGTCCATACAAGTTAAGCAGTTACAATGAAATCAAACAATAATAATTACCCTTAAGAGAAAAAAGTACTTTGTGAGTTGCTATAATGTATAACCTGTAACATCCACTTTAAAAGAAAAGTACTCAAGTAAAATAATAAAGATGTTGGATATAACAGGAAAACATGTAAAGCCATCATCATAAATATGTTTAAGGAATTACAGGAAAACTTATTTTAAAAAAAGAAAAATGCAATTTAATGTACAAAGAGAGAATTCTAGCAGAAAGACAAACTATAAATAAGAATGGAAACGAATTTGGCAAAGCTGAAAAATACAGTTACTGAAATGTAAGATTCATGACCTGGGGTCATTATCTGTTTTAAGATGGAAGAAGAAAAACTGGTAAAATTCTACAAAGATCAATGGAAAGAACAAAGTTTAAAATACAAGATAGGAAAAAAAGTAAGAATTAATAGAGCTCAGGCTTTGGGATCATTTTAACTGATTTAACACACATATCACGGGAATCCCAGGGAAGCAGATGGAGATAAAAAGTAAAAAACCAAGGATTTCCATCTGGATAAGGTGGTGTTCACCCACAATTACTATTCTGTAGGAGATTGAGACCGGGAGATCACAAATTTGAGACCAACCTGGATAACTTAATGACTTAAGTAGAACCCATCTCAAAAAAACAAATCTTAGGTTAAGACTGGGGATACAGCACACTGTAAAAGCTCTGGTTTTAAACCCCCCTACATACTTGTGAAGAAATAAAGCTTATACTCTTCCCAAATTTTATGTAAAGAAACATTAATTTACGTATATAAGAAGTTTATCATCATCTAAGTAAGATAAATATAGAGAAGATCACATTCAAGAACTCCATAATAAATTTTTGAAAGTGACAGGATCTTAGAAGTAGCTGAAGAAAAAAAAAGATATACAGGTGCTAAAATTTTATGAAAGGATGAATTTTTCATCTGGAGTAGTAGAGCACAGAACACATCAGAATGGCATGTACAAAGTAGAGGAGAATTTTTTTTGTTTTAGTCAATACTGCTATATTTAGTGAAACTATCTCAAAAATAAAGATGACACAAGAATGGGGAACAGAAGAAGAAAAAGAATAAAGATATGTTGAGTATATGTGCATACATCCTAAGACAAATGTAAACATCATGTACTATAAACAAGTACCAATAAACAAGTACCAATAAAAATAAAAATAAAGGGGGAACTACCCGCTCGGGCCCCCCCTCCTGTCCCTGTCTTGGACAGGAGCTTTCTTTCTCTCAATAAATATATTCTGCTCATAAAAAATAAATAAATAAAAGTAAAGTTGAAACTAAAAACTATTCTGACTTTGCAAAATGTATCATTCATAGTTTATCTAAGCTAAAAATGTTAAGGAAGTTTGGAGGGGTAAAGAAAAAAGGTATCACATTAGGACTATGTAGTTTATGTATATATTTTTCTTCTAAAGTTCTTTCATCTGTAGCGTAAATAAAATCAACACAACACGTACATAATGGACAATTCTATTTCTATGATATTCCAGAAGAAGGAAACTTCAGTGACAAAAAAATGGAACACTAGTTGCCTAGGAACCAATAGCAGAGATCAATTACAAAAGGTCACAAACATTTTTGGTGGAGAGAAATTTTCTCTTTGTGGTGGCAAGCATACAGATGTATGAATCAGTCAAAACTAATGAGAAAAAAACATTCATGTGATTACAATTTACTAAAATAATACCTTATTAAAATTCTTAGAAATTTCAAAACACAAACTCATAAACCTGACAAAATACAAAGAATGATTTCTGTTCAAATAAGGATACTAAACCAAAGTTCAAAGAGAGTAAAAGCTGGGAGGGATATGTGTAATATCTGAAACAAAAACGTATACAGAATCCTAAAATATAGAGTTGCTAATTGTCACTGCTACAGTAAAATAAATTTCAAATCTCAGTTTTCAAACTGAGAAAAATCAGAACATTGAACTGGTAGGCTTTGCAGGGAGGCCCATAAATGTATTCAGCACTCCTGCAAAGTAGTCAGGAGGTGGTCAGTGAAATCATAAATTATATGGCTTACAAAACATTTTTCTGTTAGTATCAGGTGCCAACCATGTAATTTAATCATTGTGACACACCCATAATATGAAATACTCGGCAACAATCAAAAGGATAAGTACAAAGAAAAATTAGTAAATCCTAAGAAAAATAATGTAGGATAATATCCTAAATATGGTCTCTGTAAGGGCCAGCCAAGTAGCTCAGCAGATTAAAGAGCCTGCAAGCAGGCACAGGGACTGGGGGTTCATTCCCCGGGCCTGCCTTGCCAGCCCCATCCCAGTGGCCCACTGAAACAGCAATTCACATTGGATGTGGTGGCACATGCCTATAATTCCAACTCTTGGGAGGCTGTACATAGGTGGATCACTACGAGTACGATCTAGTATAGTGAGACCCTGAACACCTTGTAGACCCTTCCCCAAAAATTAAAAAAATAAAATTATGGTTTGTGTAAACTAAAAGAATGTGAACACAAATATACAAAGTAATAAGCAGTCATATAGTTTTCACTATTACATTTAACTCCAATTCTTATCTCTGGATAGCAAAGAAGAAGGTTAGCATTGATGCAGAATCAAGATTAAATAAACTACAAAATTGGATTTGGTACCTCCAGCGCTAGCACTCTGAGAGGCTGAAACAGGAGGATCACTCCTGTGAAATTTATCTTATCTCAGATTAACAATTAATGACTAGGGATGTAGCTCAGTGCAAAGACCGAGTTCAGTCCTGAGTACCAAGTAAACAGATATACACACACATACATGAATATGCAAAGAAAGCTTCATTCCAACATGTTGGTAATAGAGAATTAGTAACACAGAATTATGCTTGTAACAGAGAATCATAATTTTCATATTTAAAATGAAAGGTATTTGTGCATGTTCATGCTTCGTAACATTTATGCTAAGAAGAGTCCATATTCATATATTTCAGTGGTTCTCAAATGATGGCCTACACTATGAAGACAGCAGCACCATTCTAAGCATGTCTTTCTGCATATGAAAGTAATTGCAGCATTCCTTGGAGAACATCAAAGTCTCATTTCATCATCACTTATTCCTCTCTAAAGAAAGTGTACTTGTATTTCATGATGCATGTCACTGTCAAGACCCATCTTGTTTTAAATTAAAGTGAGTCAAGAATCATGATTCAGTTTAAACATTATGAAGTAATCATGTCTCATTTCATAAAAGTCATTTGGTGACCAGAGTATATCTATCTCATACTAACTAAAACTAATCTATTTCCAAACTCTTTACGGAATGTTATGGTTTGTGTCTAGTTGTCCCCACCAAAGTCTCATGTAGTCATAGGGTGGGCCTCTAGAGCTTGTGATTAATTCATGATCCAATGCTGGGATTACGGGTGTGAGTGATAACACCCCACAGGCGGTGGGGGGATTCAGTGCATTACAGGGAAGGAAAAGAAAATTTCGTTCTGCTTCCAATGCTACTCTCTTTTTGCTCTTGCTGTTTTGCTGTTTTCCACCACCATGGGTTGCTGCCTTTGCTATGTGCCACTCTACCTTGGAGCCACCTGATTATAGACTGAAACCTCCATAAACTATGAGCTAAACAAACTTGTCCTTCCTTAATTTGGGTGTTAGGCATTTTGTTCCAACAAGAGAAATTAATCAATAGCTAGAGGATGGGAAATAAATGCAGCAAAAAATCAAGCTCCATCTACTCAGTGAAGTTTCTAGGAGTCCAATGGTGTGGAGTGTGAAGAGATATTTGCACTAAGGTTAAAGATAAGCTATTGCATCTGGCTTCCCCTACAACCAAAAATGAGGCACTGTGGCTAGTGGGCCCATTTAGATTTTGGAGGAAACATATCCCGCATTTGGATGTCTTACTCTGGCTCATTCACTGAATGACTCAGAAAGCTGCTAAGTTGAGTGGGGCCCAGAACAGGAAAAAGCTCTGAAACAGGTCAAGCTTCTCTGCTCCTTGGGCCATATGATCCAGCAGATTCTGTGGTGCGTGAAGTGTCAGTGGTAGGTGAATTGCAGCAAAAGCCTTTAGGATTTTGGAGCAAAGCTCAGTCATCATCTGCAAACCATTACTCTCATTTTGAGAAACATATCTTGGCCTGTTCCTGGGCCTTAGTGGAAATTAAATGTTTGACTATGGGACACACCAGGGTATTATCTGATTCACCATATCGTAAGGTTAGACATACACAACAATACTCTATCATTCAACTGATATAGCCAGGACAGGTCCAGATAGTATAAGTAAATTATATGACAAAAGCTGACTTCCTATCCGGAAAGTCAACATGGCAGGCTTCTCCAGGAGGCTGAACAGTACACTATCTTCCACTCTGGAGCCTGGAAGTGATGCTCAAGATGAGGACCAGAGCTCTGCCAAAATGAATCTTAGCCATCCTCAGTAACAAGGAAGTAGCAAGTTCCTCATCCAGCAAGAACAGCCAAGTTCATTGGGAAAGCAAGCATGACAAGGTTCTCCAGCAGAACAGCCTAAGAGAACCAGCAGCTTCCAACAGCTCCAACAACATCTTCTCTAATAACCTCATCCAGCTCTTCTGGCAACAATCCTCAGGTTGGCCTCCCACACCCAACACCACATTAGTTTAGTTCAGTTGGGTATAA